GCAATCGCTGCCTGTTAACAAAGCCATTATAAAATTAATATTAAATCACAAAAACAAAAAATACATATCAGCAAACATTTGAGACAACATATCAGGAATGATAACTGGAATATATTTTTAGAGAAATTCCTGAACACTAAACAGTACATAAACATTGGTATTGCTTTAAAATTATTAACCATAGAGGAAAAAAATCCAATTAATTTCTTTCCTCCATGTATTAACTATCACACTGATCACGTTTAAAATCCTGTGATCCTAATTATAATCACATGATCTCATGATCCAATCAAACTCCTTTAATTTAAAAATCACCTGAAGTTTCTCATCCGAGTCTTTTTGAAGGACGTCCTCGAGCATCTTACATTTGTGTCTTAATCGTTCACATTGAAATTTTAAATTGAATGCCTCATCTTGGAGCTGGCGTTCCCGATTCTCTGCAGCCATTCTTTTCTGCTCTTCGTCAATTTCAAACTCATCCCTCATTTTCTTTGTTGCAGCTGCATTGTCTTCTTGGAGAAGTCTTTTTTCATCAGCATACTTTGTTTTTAATGTTTCAGTCAGCTGATCATTCTGCTCAGCTTGGTCAGATAACTGAACAAATGAAACATACAATTACATGCCTAAATATGGTCATGATGACGTCACATCATGACCATATATAGGCACGTCATGACTATATATGGATATACAATAGTTTTTTTGAAAATTTAATAGTGGGGATAGGCAGAGCTTTATAATATTTTCTTACTAGGAAAAACTCAAAAATTAGTACTTATTTAGAAATTAGACTAAGAATTGGAGATAGCCAACAGAAGGAATGTGTGCTCTAGCACATATTGTACAAGGAATGGGCAACTGCCAGGGTGACAGCCATTAGAGGGGTGATAGACAGGACAGAGGATGGGTAACAGCAAGGACAGGGGATGGGAAACTAATAGCCAAGACAGGAAATGGGTAACAATAACAGCCGAGACATGCAATGTTACGCTCACACTAGCCGTTTGCCAATTTGCCAACGGCGAATTGAGACACTGCTTGGCCAAAAAAAAAAAAAAAAAAATGGCATCGTTCGCCATAATTTTCATATAAACAATATTAATCCTCATCTAGGCTAGGCTCATAAGTATTTTCATCACATGTGCAGTATATACAGATTTAATCCCAATTTTAACTTTTGGATTGGGTCGTGAGCAGGTTTGCAAAAAAACTTATTTTAATATTAAAGAAATAAATTTTCAATTTATATGTGGTAATTTACTATATTTCTGACGAATTGAAAACGGTATTTAGGTGAACCCAATATTAAATTAATATTTTATTATAATATGCGCCCGCAGTGGCGTAAAGACAAGTCATGGGGTCCAGGGGCAGGAAAATGTTTGGGACCTCTTGCATATCAGTATAAGTATTTTCACTAATGTGACCAGGGTGGGTAATCTCCCACAGATAATTGTTAAGGCATAAAATATTATTTAAGAGTTACTGGGTAGATCCTAATATTTACACACATTTATAATTTGAAATTTGTGTGAAACGTATAAATTAGGTCAATGCATAAATGATCGCTTGCATACGTGTAACTTTCATTAGCGCGAATAGGTTACATGCTCTTAATCATGAAGTATTGATCTAAGTCACATCGAAACTTTGCAAATATAAACAAACACAAACCTATCAACATTATCAAGCCTAACCTACCTTTATTAACCCTAAAACACCCTTGTTGATAACATTAATATTATGGCCAATCACAGGCCAGAAAACTGCAGTTTTAATCAAATTGCAGGTCAAGAATCAAATACGATATATGACACTTCATAATGCACGTAACCCAAAGTGAAAATGATAAAAATATTTATATCAGTAATTAAATCAAGTAAACCTTAATCTTTCATTACTCAGGTGCATGTGTCTGTTTGTAAGGCTTACACAAAGATAACAGAATCGATAGTAGGCCTAAGTACAGTGTAAATGCAGAACCAGTATGGTCTTTGGTGGTGGGATGGCCACAACACAAGCATTACCAGGGGTGTAGGCCCTCCCCCACCCCCCAAAAAAGGGGGGAAGTTCAATAATCAACTACGAAATTCTTTACCGCCCATGCTTATGACTATGAGCAAAAATTCATGAATCACAATGGGGGGATTGCATAAAACTTTTTATGTCAGTCGATTGCGAAATGAAAATTAAAATAGTAAATATATCATTTTTTTTTGTTAATAATTACCTTACTAATTAATACGGTATCAAATACCATCATTTTTTTTACTTTAGCATGCTTCCATCAGGGAGTGGAATGTTATTGTACAATGTCATTGTTTTAAAAATTGACTTATTAAAAGTTGACTTATGGATTAATATAAACATGTCATTCATTATTATGAAATAAAAGTGAAATGAACCCCAAAAAGACCAGCAAAAACGTGCAGAACTTTTACATTTCATTTCTTTATTTTGGAAATGTATTTATATAGAATAACTTTAAAACATACAATAAAAAAAAACAAAAAAAAAACAAAATTAGGATAAAGCAATAGGTGGCAATGGGCCTGGGTGACAAAAGACCAGGTAGTAAAAGACCGGGTGACAACGGGCCTATGGTGGCAAAAGGTCATGTGGTAAAAGGCAGGGTTGCAGAAAGCAGGGTGGCAAAGGGCCGGGTGAAAAATGAGTATAAAATTTCGGGATTAAAAAATCACTTTGAAATTTACTATCAATTTATAGGGGGTCGAGTCGAGTGTGGAAAATCACACTATGAGCCCCAGGGGAAAAAAAGTTTGTGAAGCGAGGCAGTAGAGCAAAACAACAGAAAGGGGCTACTGTATACAATACTCAGAACAGTACTTGAAACGGTAGTCGCTTGTAATGCATCAAAAAGTGAGGCACTCTCTAGTAGTATACTCCCACATGGAATGAATTAACCTACATGTAGGCGTGGCACTATAGCAGGTCCGGTAGCTGCCGATCCCGTATATATATAAATATATTTAGCAATATGACAGACAAAACATTAAATGTCATTTTCATGTTTCAAATATCATGTAATATCATGTTATATCGTGTAATATCAGTTTTCACTATTGTGCTGCCAGCTGCCTCCCTATCAAAATTCACCACTGACAAATTCAATGCTATATTCTTGTGATTATCTTATTCATCATCATTATCATCATCATTAAGGTTTATAATGAGTATTAAGAAAGACTCAAGCTAAAAAATAGAATGCACTTAATAAAGAATATTAATTAATTATAATAAATTATTTTCAAGAAACCCATACAATGCAATATTTATTGTGTATCAATACTCAAACTTAAAGCATGTAAAAACACATTCCAACAAACCATTATAAACTGCCTGTCTACAGACATAGGACCTTCGAACTTTGGATTTTGGTTTAATTCCCTTGACAACCAAACATATTTTAATAACTGTGCGTGACAGATACGTTTTGGTCGACGTGCCATCTTCACTGATCCTTGTTTATTCATGATAAAACACAAAAATCAATCCTTTACAAATCTATTGAAATCACTTATCTTTGCGATAAACTATTATGCGGCAAATTGCTTGGTGTAAACTACAACCCTGAATTTTGTTATAGATGATAAGTTGTCAGTCTGATTGCCAACAGTTACAAAGATGATTGAAAGGAAGTCATTAATTTTCCAGCTTTTTTATCCACATAATCCACCAGACGATACTTTCCCAAATTCTGCGAGTCACCAGCATACGATTCATCAAAATATGAGTTAAAAGAAAGTTGCCACGTTGTTTTTTTCCCTAGAAAAAATCCACAAAATGTTATTTGTGACACTAACCCTGCGATTTCTTTGAATGTAAACTATAAATCCTGAAACTGTGCACTATTAAAACAATAAATTCAAAATGTCACAGATGTATAGATATGTTTGAAATTCAGATCAGATTCAACTTGTCATTAAAATCCATAAAATCTTCAGTATTTAAGAATCAAAAAATCCAATTCAATACAGTATAATCATATTATTAGATCCTGTCTTGCATACTATTTTTACCGTGTCAAGATCATCATCTTTCCGTTTGTAATCAAAAGCTATCAATTGCCAAGTACAGATGAACACATATTAAATAATTCATGATTCATTCGCTGGTTTTACTGATGTTCAATAATACTTCTCTGTGCAGATTTAACCAAATACAGATGCAGGATAAAGAATGCTAGTAGGAGTTAATAGCTCATACTAGAGCTGTGCTGTGCATGTTGGATAATCCAATCAAACATTCCCTCAAAATTCTACAATGAATTATAGATTGCATAATAAGTATCACTACCAGGAAATAGAAAACATTAATTGTTAAATTTTTCCTGTTTGTTTATATATAGAGCATTTATGTATTATATCTCAGCGATAGGATGGAAATTATCACATAAAAAGCAACAACAATTTGGAAATTGAACTGTAAATAAATTGGCAGTAAATTAAGGATGATACTTAAAAGATTTCCTGTAGATGAGTAGCTGGTAGTAAGCAATGGCAGTTTTTTTTTTTTTTTAAGAATGTTCAATGCAATTTTTTAACCTTGCTTTAATTGCTTCAAAAATGTTCTTTCTTGTCTTTAAATTTAAAAACTAATGAATGACCGTAAACAGTTATATCTCAAGACTTTACGACAGAAATTTTCAAGGAATTAGTTTTCCAGATTGGGGTCAAAGGGTAGATTGACATCCCAACTGCAAATACTAGGAAGCATACAATAAAGGTGACTGTGATAACCACTCAGTAAGTTGAAGTAATATCTCAAGTAGCTCTTAAGTACTTTTATATTTTTGTATTATATTCTGGATGCACTAAACAATGTTGAGTGTCACTGTTTTAAAAGTGAAATCTGTATAAATTTAAAAAGGATAAGATTCTGTTTTTTATTTTTCAGATTTAGAAATATTATTATAAACAACTTCAAAATCCTGTCACTAGATGGCATGCACAATGAGATGATAATGTGGCTTCAGAAAATTGAAAATATCTTTAAACTTTGTAAGATGCAAGTAATAATTATGTAACAGTTCTGATTTGAAAATGAGAAAATTCCAACTAATTCAATTAATCAATGTTTCATCATTAAAGCAATTAATAAATCCATTAGTCAACTAATCAATCAACCAGCCACCATTTAAAGATTTGTTTTCAAAAATCAGGTGATCATTAGTACATTTTATGAAAATTCACGACTTCCTACAATATCCAAAAATAATCTTGATCTCAACGCCAAGAAACTCCAGATGAATATTATATTCAATTTTCCAATAAACACTAAGAGTACTTTGAAGAATTTCAACCAGAAAACCATCAGTTCACTTAAGTTTGGTGCTTGAACTCTGTAGACTTATCTTCTTATCATCCACATAAACATGAAATATATTCCAGATACCGGTAATCACTATCAATCTGAAATCTGAAAAAAGGACTGCGAAGCCAGAAAAATGTTTTAACAACAGTCTGATATACATACAAGTGCTCTCAATACGTCTGGTTTACCTGTAATAAAATTAGGGTTTGAATGCCATTGACTTTTCTTCTTTGAAATGTCAGTCATCCACAAAAACATGAAAATTCATTCGAGATATATCACTACCAATTTGAAAGAGCAGGATTGCGATACTGGTACGAGTATTCTTGATACGTCTAGTTTATCAAGTAATGCAGCTCAGCTCCTAATGCATATTTCAAAAGATGCAAATCACTAAAACTCTGTATGGACAACTAAACTAATATATACATCGCAAGTCGATGATTATTGCAATGGAGTTATCGCTGAATATTCATAACTTAATGGTAAAAAATATAAATTGTCAAAACCAAGATCACAACAAAACTTATGACAACCATTTTTGGGTATAAACTACAGAGTTCCAAATCAATGTAATCATCAGTGTAAAGTCAAATGTATTGTAACAGATTTTAGATGTCCTTATTTTTTTTTTCATCAATCAAGAATGTACCAACACTTGACTCTTGTAAGTTGGTTTGGCTTAATAAGGAATATCTTAACTGTGGTGTACCAACACCACAAGTGATTAATTGAACTGTCAAACAAATCCAATTGTATTCTAAATAATGGTAATTATTATTATTATTATTATTATCATTATTATTGTTTTTGTATTTAAGTATTAAAAATGAGTCCTTATCTGAACTACTTTATTAAAAAAATGAAAGGAATGCGAGAGTGCCTTCAACGTTGTCAAAACAATAAAATATATTACAACTACAATATAGCTTTTTACAAGCGGGCACAGACTGCTAAATGTAAATTTGAAAGGATATGCCCAGGCCATTAAAGTTCAGAGGTCACATACTAAAACTTTAAAGAAGGAAACACTGAATGGATGCTTTAGAAGGCAGCTACAAAGCATACAGGTGCAATGTAGTACTGTCATTTGCTGCATGCGTTCAATCAAGTGCCCTAGATATTACCAGAAAAAAAAGCTATAATTACAAAAATTAAATTTACTTACATAGGAGGGGCACAGATGTCCAAACAGTATTTGCAGTTAATGCTTATAGACCTGAAATGACTGAAATAAGGTGGTTACTGTCACTGAAGAAGAGAAGATTTAGTAAATATAGATCAGAAATGAGGAGGTAAATTATAAAATTCTTTGATCTGTGTCACTACCATTCCAAATTCCATTAGCTTGCATGTGAGGTGTAAATTTTGCTGAAATGGTTTTTTCCTTAACATCTAGGAATGTGGGAAGTTTTTCTTTAATCTTTAATTGAAGTCCCAAATGTTTAGTTACGCTAATTGCATCACACAAAAGTCTAAGATTTCGTAAATTCAGATGACCACATGTAATCAAATTATTCAGCAGGTCTACTGTCTTAGACTTGCAATAGTTCATGATAGCCCACCTCGTCTCTGAACAACACTTTCAGCATAGGGAGACTTTTTTTGTCACACCATAGTGACAGCAGCCTTAAGCACTATGAATTTCTTATCTAACAATTCTATAAAATCAGACATCCAATATTTATATTGTTTTCTATTTTAAAAATGTAGATTTTCATGAACATTATTGGCAGTAGTATGAGCCAAGAGTAAATTATCTAATAAAAATAATAATAAAATATAATAATAATAATAATAATAATAATAATAATAATAATAATAAGACATTTATAATGTGTTTTTTCAAAAGTTTATCAAATGGTCACTTTATGTCCTCTGCAGCCGGTAAACCAGCACACCTTCATCAGTCCACGACAGGAGCCAAGTGGACCAGTACACCGTGGTAACACCCTGCTCGTCTCAAAAGATGTACTTGGTTATTTAAAGTACAAATGAGTATTTGTGTACACTGGGCCTATGGTTTATAGTCCTTATCCGAGAAGACTTGTTTCACCACCAGAACTACAGTATAGGACTCAGGAGCGAGACAGCCGTGAAACCGTGCTGATATTGTTGGCCATGGTTATGGTGCCCCTGCCTTATCCTATAAACACATTATACAGTACTAGTACTCTATCATAATGGTCTGGTTGAAAATCCCTTTCCAAATAGTGTGTCAAGTCCTTCTCATGCATGTGAGCCATAATATACTACAATTGCTGTATTTCATTAGGCTGCTGCATTTGGACCTTAGTAATTAGAGGGTGAGATATGTGGTCAGTTGGTATAGTACTTAGAAAGAGCCAAGAATGGGAATGGGTGATAACCAGGAGAGAGAATGGACAATGGCCAGTAGAGGTCACCACAGTAGAGGTCACCACAAGAAATGGGCTTTAGCCAAGAGAGGAAAGGAGACAGCCAGGGTAGAGAATGGGCGACACCCAGGATGGGGAATGGGTGATTTCCAGGACAAGAAATGGGTGATATCCAGAACAGGGAATGGGTCACAGCCAGGACAGCGGATAAAAAAAACAATTCAAAAAAGTTTGCTTGCAGCACATTTCCGGGGGCTCAATCTTAAATATTTCTATATGGGCAGGTGCCGCATTTACAAGGGTATTTTTGAGGACTTGGTAGCACAAGTGTGGGAATTTATGGAAGAGTTTCAGCATGTATAGGGTATATTCGCAAGGATTTGGTAGTACAAGTGTGGGAATTTATGGAAGAGTTTCAGCATGTATAGGGTATATTCGCAAGGATTTGGAAGC